GTGGTCAAACCTCAAGTTGCAAAAGTTCTGGTCACAGTGTGTGCTAAGTCATTAGTTAAGATGGAAAAGGCATTACATGTGTGGGTGCAAGACATGAACAGAAATGTGTTCAGATTGACAGCAATCAAATTCAGTACTATCCACTGGGGATCTTGGAACCTATTCCCTGCAAATGATGGGGCACTGTTACAAAGGACATACCCAAGCAGCCGTGCATGGTGGCTCACGCCTGTGATCTCAAAACTTTGGGAGGCCAAGGCAGGAGGATCTCTTGGGCCCAGAAGTCTGAGACAAGCTTGGACAACATAGTGAAATACTATCTCTACAAAAATTTTTTTTTTAATTTGCCAGGCCTGGTACCATGTACCCGTAGTCCCAGCTACTCATGGGGTGAAGGTGGGAGGATCATTTGAATCTGGGAGTTCAAGGCTGCAGTGAGCTGTGATCACATTGCTGCACTCCAACATGGGTGACAGAGCAAGACTTTGTTTCAAAAAAGGAAAAAAAGGCTGGGAGCAGTGGCTCGCACCTGCAGTCCCAGCACTTTTGGAGGCTGAGGCGGGTGGATCACCAGGTGAAGAGATCGAAACCATCCTGGCCAACATGGTGAAACCCCGTGTCTACTAAAAATACAAAAATTAGCTGGTTGCAGTGGCATACACCTGTAGTTCCAGCTACTCAGAAGGCTGAGGCAGGAGAATCGCTGGAACCCGGGAGGCAGAGGTTGCAGCGAGCTGAGATCACACCACTGCACTCCAGCCTGGCAACAGAGCAAGACTCTGTCTGGAAAAAAAAAAAGGAAAAATATAAAACGGTAAAATGTACAAATGTGGAATATATATTTACAAAGTTTTTGGGCTTTACAGAAGGTTTACTCACTACCACCACCAAAATATTTATACCTTTGAAATGTTTTCTTTTTTTTTTTCCAAACATCATTTTGTTTACTAAGGCAAAAGGTCCTTTGAGGAGCCTGACATTTATCACCATTGCCCCTCGCCTGCCTTCACTTCTGACACTGCCTCCTCTCTGTCTGCGCCTATGCCCCTCCTGAGCCTGGACCCTTCGACCTCTTGCATAGAGGGCAGCCTTACCCTGTGGGGGTCAGGCCAGTCCAGTGCCCAGGTGGCTCACAGAGTCCTCCTGAACAGCTCCAGTCACTTGCTCTTATCTCCTCCACAAGCTCCCACTGCGCAGGAGAAACTGAGTCACTGTGTCCCATTACACTCTTATGCTATCTTGTGCTGGTTGCACTGCTGAGTGACAGCTGACTCATCTGGACCAGCTTCCCAGCCATGGCCCCAAATGTTTGTTGAACCTGCTTAGTTTTCCTTCATTTCCTTCAATAGGTCTAGTTTCATTTCTTTAATGGGCAACAGTTGTGAGAACAGAACGCCTGGGATAGAAATGACCCCCTCGTTGTACGCAGCTGTTAGGCATGAGGACATAGCCCCGTGGTTCTGGGACTGACTTCAGTTCTCCCTATGCGGGAGCGTGATGCAGCCGCTGGACGGAAGTCGCTGGGGTGGGGGCTGTCCCTTGTCATTCTAGGGGAGTTCCCTCCGGCAGGGGCTGTGCTGGTGCTGGCGCAGCATCCTGATACCTCTGACATCCTGAGAACCCAGCCCTCCAGCTGCGGCTTCTCATGGCTCCGTGAGGCCACCTCAGTTCTGCTACCTCCCTGGCCAGGTGTCCTCCAATGATGATTTTTGTCCCTGATTTGGGACTGCAGAGTTCCATGTAGCGAGGGCCTCTGATTGACAGTGTACCCTGATGTTTCTGCAATCTGGATGGCTAGAAGAGAGAAGCCCTCACTATGGTAAAGCTGCCAGCACCCTTCTGACTCATGTTTTGGGGGAAGACACGAATGGGCCTTTGTTTTTGCAGTGGTAACAGCAGGCTTCTCTCCTGGTGTGGAGGCGGCTGAGGCATAACCATGTAATGGGTTGTCCTCACTGTGGGCGGAAGTTCATGGGGAGAGGATTTCAGTTGTTTTGGGAAAGAGGCTGACATCCAGGTTGAGCCCAGAGAAAGCTGAGAATAAGGGTCCTAGACTCAGTGACGCATCCAAAGCCCCTACCCTGCTACAGGGAGAGGCAGGTCTGTGGTCCCACAGCAGGAGCTCGGGTGCAAGGGAGGGTCAGGAGAAGACGCCTTAGCAGGGCCCAGCCCAAGGACTGCAGGAGCTCTGCGTTCTAGGATCCAGCTTTGACGCTTGTCCATTCCACAATAGGATTCCTACTTAGACCTTTAGGAACGTTTTGCTCAGCTTTGCTCTTTGGTCCTAGCCTTGACTGTGCTTTGGGGAAGCACCGTATCTGTGGGATGGCCATGGGGAGCGTGGCTGCAGCCTGGAGAAGCTGGTTACAGGGGGAGAGGAGATGACCTGCAGGGAATGATGGGGTGCCTTAAGGTGAGATATGGGCCTGAGGCCAACCAGAATGGATCTGTGGGACACAGGAGCATCACTGGGTGTTTCCAAGAACATTGAGGGGAGGCGATCCTGTTAAGCAGTGCGTGGGATGCTCCGTGGATAACAGGCAGCCTATAGACCTTGGCCTGTTGAGGGGAGAATAAGCCACGCAGACTCTGCAGGAGGTGGATCAGAGGCAAGTGAGCCAGCTCAGAAGGCCAGCACTCTGGCCAGGCGCAGTGCCTCACACCTGTAGTCCCAGCACTTTGGGAGGCCAATACTGGTGGATTGCAAGGTCGGGAATTTGAGACCAACCTGACCAACATGGTGAAACCCTGTCTCTGCTAAAAATACAAAAATTAGCTGGGTGTGGTGGTGCACACCTGTAATCCCAGCTACTCAGGAGGCTGAGGTGGGAGAATTGTTTGAACCTGGGAGGCAGAGTTTGCAGTGAGCTGAGATCGCACCACTGCACTCCAGCCTGGGCTACAGAGCAAGACTCTGTCTCAACAAAACAAAACACCTGTTAAGTTGAGGTGTCTGTCTGTCAGAACAGAGCTGTCTGTCAGAAACTAGCCAGATGCTCAACAATTCTGCCTCTTTTTCCTGCATCTATAGGAAAACTACATTCCCCAGCCTCCCTTGCAGTTAGGTTGGGGCCCCATGCACCAATGGAGTGTGAGTAGCAGGGAAATCAACCATTTCCATACTTGGCCAAAAACCCCTGTGAGATTCTCTTTTTGCTGCTTCCCCTTACCTGTGTGGATGAAAAGGGAAGACCCTGAGATGATAGGCTTTGGTGATGGGAGGATCCTGAATCAGGGCCATCGCTTTGGGAAAGACTTGCCAGAAAGTCGCCTCTCATTGGGCTTTGCATGAAGTTTTCTGCCCTGAAATAAGTAGTCTTGGGTAGTAGTGAGTTGTCATTGGTGGTGCTAGTAGAGAGACTGGACTATCATTTTTGGGGAATGCAGAGGGGAGACTTCATGGAGAGGGAACTGGATATTATGACTTGTCTGGTATACACCAGCACTGATATCTAACGTGTAATTTAGCGGTGTTCTTCTAAAAGTTGTTGAATGGAAGCAAATGGGATTGAAATCCCAACATTTCCCCAGAGTACTGGGCACTATTATAACCTCAGGATGAATGCCATCTGTCTTAGTCCATTTTCTATGGCTATAACAAAATGCCACAGACTAGGTAATTTATAAAGAACAGACATTTATTTCGCTGTTGTTCTAGAGACTGGGAAATCCAAGAACATGGTGCCAGCATCTGACAGGGGTCATCTCATGGCAGAAAGCAGAAAGGCAAGCAAGCTCTGAAGACAGAGGAAAAGAGGGCTGAACTTCCCCAATAACAAACTCTCTCCCACCATACATCATTCATCCATGACCTAACACCTATTAAAGGTCCCACCTCTCCACACAGTTACAATGGCAATGAAATTTCAGCATGAGTTTTGGAGGGGACATTCAATTCATAGTATCATCAAAGACCACTGTCTTGCCAGATTATTTCCAGGGATAGAGGCTTTGGGATCACCAGCTACAAGGAGTGGGTTTTTCAGAAAAGCAATGAGCCAAGAGGGTCAGAGTCTGACTCTCTTTCGGTTGGGCTAGCCAGAGGAATGCAGCAGATGGGGATGTATTTCGTGCTGAAAATTTCTCCCACTCTTGTCTAGCCAAACCCACAGACCAGTATGTGTAACAGGAAGATGAGCCCTGTGTATAAACAGGAAGATGAGCCCTCATCTGACTGAGCAACGCTGGTGAATAAGAAATAAATCCTAATGGTTTCTGTCACCTTCCAAACCAGATGGACTTTTTCTCCCACCCATCCTCTCAGGAGAGAAAAGAGTCATAATCCCCAATGATGTCCTTACTTAGTCTGTTTAGAATAAGGATCTACTCTTCTGGAACACTCCAGGACTCTAGGAGCCTGACCTAGAGGGGGATTAAGTGACCAAGATCAAATTTACATTTTAATATGATGCAGTTAATCCTCAGTGATAAACATGGCATATGCCATTGTTGGGAAGATGCTCCAGCCTAAAGAGGCAGGTCAGCAAATGTGGGCCTCTCCAAACAAAGCCCTGTCACCGAGGACAGCCCCACAGAGATGAATGCAGCAGGCCCTTCTACATTGGAAATCTTCTCTAGTGAGGAGGGGGTGGCCTGATGGAGCCCTCCTTCACTGTGGGGAGCAGCTACCCAGCAGGTACAAGGGATCCTGGGACCAAGGACAGAGGGGGTGATATTCTCCAAACCACATGACTGGGCTCTGCCCTCAAAAAGGAGTTGTCCAAATTAGGCCCCAGAGTGAATTTGCAACACCACGATCAAGAGCTGGGTGGCACTTTATGAATCTCAAGCAGAGAGAAGGCTCTACTTCATTCAAGGGCTGTGTCCTTCTCCACCATTTTTGGGTGATCAAGTGTAAATCCCCTAATCGCTCTGCTTGAGTTTGCCCTGAGAATGTCAACCCCGGCCCTTCCTGACTCCTTTGGTTCTTCAAGGGCCCTCTAGATCCCCCCAGTGTTGGGAACCCCCTACCCCGTAAAGACCGCAGAATACTTCCAAGGTGTCTGGTTACTTTGCTTTATTTGCAGACTGAAGTTTGCTACATAAATCCATTGCACAGTCAACACATGTGCACTTGGCAGAAAGAGAGGACAATACAAAAATACAGCTCTTGATAGTAAATGATACTGCCCTCAGCTCTTCCCAGTCCGTAGTCAGTGGGAAAGCTGGTGTTTAAGGTCAACATAGGAGGAAGAACTGTAGAATGAGGCATGGAAGCTTCCACCAATGTCACTGGTCCAGGAGGATCCTGGGCTGAGTTGCATGGACTCTTGTTGGCTGTGTGGTTATTTCTGCCACCTTCAAACTTGGTCACTTCCTCCTCTAGGAAGGGGAAGGGAACCTCCCCATGTCACTGGACACCTTCAAACTTGGTCACTTCCTCCTCTAGGAAGGGGAAGAGAACCTCCCCATGTCACTGGACACCCTTCACAAGGATCTGAGCAGGGACTGCTCAGTCAAAGCCAAGTGTAGTCCTGGGACCACCGTGAGCACCCCTCCCTGGAGCACCTCCAGCCTGCGCTGTCTGCCTCTGAGCATCCCTGATGAGACGGCTAAGAGACATAGCACAAAGGAAAGAGGGGAAGGGAGACTGAGGAAGGGGTTCTGCCTGGGCCTCCCTTTGGTAGATTCCAGAAATGTTTACTGATGCCAACTTCTACTCCTCGCCCCTGGTCCCTTCTTGGAAGAAGCCTATGTAACCTCTTGGTTCTGAGGAATTTGAGTTGCAGGTCTTGGAGGGCATGACCTGGGAAGTCAGAGCTGGTCCCAGCCAACCAACCAGAAGGTCTAAAGGGCTGGCATTTCTGTGGAGGGGGCAGGTCTCCTGGGGCAGCCAGCGGCTCTCCCAGTTCTTGTGGCTGGAGCTAGCATCCTCCTCTGCCTATAGCTCCCCCTCTCCCCCACCCCAGCCTGAGTTCCAAACACCCACTACCTTCCCTCTCCCCTCCTCCCTTCTTCCTCTTTTCCTTCCCCCCATTCCTCCCCACTCCTGCCTTCCTTTCCCCTCCAGTCTTCACTTCCCATGCTGTTGTGGGTAGGACTCCAGTGCTGGTCCCACCGGGGCATCTGGACACACATTGTCTGTGACAACAGTGGCACTGGAAGCCCTGGCAGGTAAACCCCCAGCCTCCCACCCTCCACGTCCTCACAGTCCCCATGCACAAACTCTCTGCAGGAAGCAGGCCAGGAAGCGCAGTTCACTGTCTCCCCGTCCCAGCAGCCCCAGCTTGGCCACATCATACTCTGCGGCAGAGGCCACCATGAGCCGACGGGGGCTTATTCCCACCCTCGATGGTCTCCGTGGGCTCGGCAAGTGAGAACAGGCTTCCGGAGTCACAGGGGCCTCGCCGCCTCAGCAGAAAGCTGCACTGGTGCTGAGCGAAACAGGAAGTGGCCAACCCTGAGGCCTGTGGGCTGAAGGCTCCTGCCTCACGTGGCCCCACCCATGGGGGACCCAGGCTAGGCCGAAGCATCTGTGGGGGACCCTCCCGCCCCTGGTGAGTTAGGGGTCTGGAAGGCGGGGTGGAGCTTGGTCAACAGCTCGGGCTCCTCGCCCTGGGCCCCGCTTTTCCCGGAGGCCTCGGAGGCACCCAGTGGGTAGGCCTCCCGGGCCCGGCCGGTCCTGGAGCAGGTGAAGAAGGCCAGGCAGGCCCCGCGGAGCCGGGCCAGGTCCCGGTGGGTGGTCTCGCTGACAAAGCAGTAGAGCACGGGGTCGGCAACGCAGTTGAAGCTGGTGAGCAGGAGGGAGAAGTGGTAGGCGTTGAAGATGCCCTTGGCGAACTCGCAGCTGGCCTCCCAGAGGCTGCGCACCAGCAGCAGCACGTGGTAGGGCAGGAAGCAGGCCAGGAAGATGACCACGGTGCTGAGCACCAGCCGCTGGATCTGGTCCTTGCGGCTCTTCTGGGTGCCGTGGCTCCGGCGCACAGCGCGCAGGATGCCCTGGTAGGAGGCCAGCAGCAGGCAGATGGGGAAGAAGAAGCCCACCAGGAAGCGGTAGTAGTTGATGCCGCGCTGCCACGCCTGGATGGGGTAGTGCTCGAAGCACACGCGGTGCTGGTCCTCGTCCTCGATGACCTCCTCGTGCATCAGGAAGTAGATGCTGGTCAGCAGTTCCTTGGCCCAGATGACCACGCTGATGCCCACAGCCGCCTTCAGGGTCCGGAACTGGTGGAAGCGGAAAGGATGGGCCACAGCCAGGTAGCGGTCGACGGAGATGCAGCAGAGGAAGCCCACGCTGATGTAGATGTTCTCGTAGAGGAGGATGCCGCACACCTGGCACGACAGGTCACCGTGTGACCAGTTGTCGTGCTGCAGCACGTACTGCAGCCAGAAGGGCAGCGAGCAGATGTAGAAGAGGTCGGCCACCGTCAGGTTGCACAGGTACACGCCCAGCTCGTTCCGGGCCTTGATCTGCAGGTAGCCGAAGTAGAGGGACAGGCAGTTGGCGGGGAAGCCCACCACCAGCACCATGACATAGACCACCGGGGCCAGCGTCTGGTGGATGGTGTGGTCGATGGTGCAGCCCATCGAGGAGTTGTCTGCAGTGATGTTCCCCATCTTTAGGCCTGGAGGGGCCTCACCCCTCATGGACTCATGGACCAGGCCTGTCTCTCCACCGCCATCCTGTTTATAGAAAGTGGTTCAAGCTCTACCAAGGGCTGGGCATCACTGGTGGTAGGCGAGACCCTGAAAGTCAGAGGCAGGAGAAGCTTAGAATAATAGTAGCTAGCATGTATGTAGCATCTGCTATGTGTTAGGCACCGTTCTGAATTCTTTACTCGTTTAATTTAGAAGGTGTGCTGGCCCGCCAACTCCAATTCAACTAGAATGTCTCAATGGCCAGATATGATGGCTCACACCTGTATTTCCAGCACTTTGGGGGGCCAAGGCAGGTGGATCACCTGAGGTCAGGAGTTCCAGACCAGCCCGGTCAACATGGCAAAACCCTGTCTCTACTAAAAATACAAATTTTAGCTGGGCATGGTGGCATGGATTAATATAACTGTAATCCCAGTTATTCGGGAGGCTGAGGCAGGGGAATTGCTTGAACCTGGGAGGCAGAGTTTGCAATGGGCCAAGATCGTGCCACTGTGCTCCAGCCTGGATGACAGAGGGAGACTCCATCTCAGTAAAACAAAAAAACACTAAGAATATATCCAAATGAGTCACATACCAAGATGCCGAAGGGTAGTTTACGTCTCCCCTCCCCATTCCCTGGCTTTGCCAATTTATTCCCTATCCTTTATATATTTTCCTGCCCTCTTGGTGTAGCAAGTAAGGCTGGAGGTTCTCATGAGCCTGCTCTCCCAGGGAGACTTGGGGCAAAGATCAGTTCTAACCCACACGCGACGGCACCGGCCACCCTCATCCACGGCAAGAGGCGTCATTCACATTTGTCCTATTTGCTCACAGGAATGTACTACGTAGGTCCATTAACACTGAGGCCACTGCCCCGCATGGCAGCCTCTCCAGATAGCATCAGAAGAGGTCCAGCCTTGTCCTCACTTTACCACATTCTGGTAAGAAACAAAAGCCCAAGTCCAGCCTTGTCCTCACTTTACCACATTCTGGTAAGAAACAAAAGCCCAGTTTCCTGCAAGCACAGCCTGGACTCTGGGGTGCTCACCCAGCAAGACCTACCTCACCTCTCCATGGAGCTCCAGAAAAGCTCTGGACCAAGGCCCCAGGACGTGAGCGCCAGGCCACGGCCAGCCACGTACAGACTGTGCAAGCCACTTACCTTGTCTGAGTCTCAGTTTCCTCACCTATCAAATGGAGATAAAACGCTCACCCTCGGGGGTCAGTATCAGGGCCACATCAAGGGATAAATATGAGAACACAGGGCATCGTGTTTCCAGAAGCAAAGGGGAGGAGTAAGAGATTATAATCTTGCTGGAGTTAGTGAAAAGTTCCCATTTATTGGCCAGGTGCAGTGGCTCACTCCCGTAATCTCAGCATTTTGGGAGGCTGAGGTGGGCAGATCACTTGAGATCAGGAGTTTGAGACCAACCTGGCCAACATGGTGAATCCCCATCTCTACTAAAAATCAACCAGGCATTCTGACAGGTACCTGTAATTGCAGCTAGCTACTCGGGAGGTTAAGGCACGAGAATCACTTGAACATGGGAGGCAGAGCTTGCAGTGAGCTGAGATCACAGCACTGTGCTCCAGCCTGGGTGACAGAGCAAGACTCCAACTCAAAAAAAAAAAAAAGGTCCTATTATTGAGGATTTAACAAAGAAGATTCCAGATATACAAATAAGTTTGAGCAAGATAGAATACAATGTTTTGGTTGGGCACAGTGGCTCATACCTGTAATCCCAGCACTTTGGAGGCAGAGGCAGGTAGGTCACCTGAGGTCAGGAGTTTGAGGCCAGCCTGGCCAACATGGTGAAACCCTGTCTCTACTAAAAATACAAAAATTAGCCAGGTGTTGTGGCAGGCGCTTGTAGTCTCAGCTATTTGGGAGGCTGAGGCATGAGAGTCACCTGAACCCAGGAGGTAGAGGTTGCAGTGAGCTGAGATCATGCCACTGCACCCTAGCCTGGGTAATAGAGCAAGACTGTCTCAAAAACAAAACAAAACAACAACCTTCTTGGATGAATAGGTGAATGGCACTTTCCATCTTCCAGGTGAGGAAACTACAGTTCTGAAGGGCAAGTGCCTTTCCTGGAGCCAGCCTGAGGAAGGACATCTGCTGCTGGAATCCAGGTCTCCTTGCTCCCATCCCACCTCCCTGCCAGCACAGTCTCCGCTTGAGACTCAGCTCCCAACCTCTCCGTTCCCAGAAAACAGGGACTCCCAGTCTCTGACTCACCTCCTCCGTCCTCTCCAGGACACTGGCCTAGAATTTCAGTGATGGTGGTGGAGGGAGGTGCTTCTTGTTTTCGTTGTAGTAAAATGCACGTAAATAACATTTACCCCTTTAGCCACTTGTAAGTGGCATTAAGTGCATCGACACTGTTGTGCGACCATCAGCACCCTCCATCTCCAGAACTCTTTTCATCTTGCAAAATTAAAACTCTATACCCATTAAATAATACCTCCCAGCCCCTAGCAACCACCATTTCTGTCTCTATGAACTCGACTATTGTAGGTACCTCATATAAATGGACAAGCCTTTTGTGTCTGGCGTATTTGACTTAGCATAATGTCTTCAAGGTTCATCCACACATGTCAGAATTTCCTTCCCTTTTAAGGCTGAATAATGGTCCATTGTATGCACAGCCCACATTTGGTTTATCCATTCACTGATGGGCACTGGGATTTTTTTATTAGGCTATTGTGAATGAAGCTGCTATGAACATGAGTGTAGAAAGATCTGTTCAAGTTCCCACTTTCAGTTCTCTTGGGTATATACCCGGGATTGGAATTGCTGGGTCATATGTTGGTTCTATTTTTAGTTGTTTGAGGAACCACCATACCGTTTTCCATCATGGCTGCACCAGCTGACATTTCCACCAGCAATGCACAAGGGCAGGTTTTGGGTTGGTTGGTTTGTTTTCACTTGTATGTTTTGGCGGCGAGAGAAAGGGGAGAAGGCACAGCTGAAGCCCATGATCCAAAAACTGCCCAGAACCCAGTAAATCAGAAGTCGGCCCTAGTCACCCTCCTCTTGCCAGCCCTCCTGTCCCTGAATTTCACGCTCGCATCTGTGGGGCCAAATGCTTTGCCAGGATTACAAGTCCACAGCAGCCCGTGTTCCCGAATGGTCCTCAAGGCACCTATCCAGAGCTGTTCCTGTTTCAGGAATTTACTTCAGGTTCTCTGCAGTCCATACAAAATCCACCCACAGGAAGATAAAATCCATTCATAAGCACAGGCCCCCAGGCTCCCCCCAAACGGCAAATGAAATCCCCATGAAAACACAACCAGTCGTCCTGGAAATGCGCTAAACGTCACCAGGCTGTGGTTTACGAGTGGTGGGTGTATATGTGCATAGGGTGGTGCTTCCTCTTCCCCAGGCCAACAATAAGCTAATTCTGGCAACCAAAGTCAGAAACATTCAAGCCCACAGAACAAAGAAGAAACATTTACTACGTTTAGATGAAAGCACCCCCTACGTTCATTTTGGAGAGAAAAGAGGGTTTTGGTATTCCAACGCTGCCGTCCTTGAACTTAGGTGCATCAGAATCCCCTGGCGAATTTGTTATGATGGATTGCTAAGCCTCCCCTCCAGAGTTTCAGACTCAGTGGGTCCGGGGTGGGGCTCAAGAATTTTACATTTCAAACAAGCTGCCAGGTGACGGGAAGCTGCCAGCCCATGGACCACACTTTGAGCAGCAAGGTACTAGGAGCTTCTGGAAGGTCCCAGGTTCGGCTCCTGAGCACATGCCCTACAAGAGCTCCCAAGGCAGGGAAACAGAAGCAGCTGGAAGGGGAATGTGATCCAGCAGGACCTTGTGGGCACAAGAAGAACGCAGCCCTTGCGATGTCTCCTGGCTGATTCAAGGCGTCAAGAAAGAGTGATTAAACCTGAGTACTTACACCTTTTATTTGCAAAATACTTGAGTGTACAGAGCTTTTCAGTCTGTTCTCTTGTCCAATTCTAAAAACAGCTTTTTAGAGATGTCCCCATTCTACAGATGAGAAAACTGAGGTCAGTGAGAGGAAGCAGTATCCTGGCTTTCACCGCACAAGTGTGTGTACAGCACCTCCAATGTTCACAGCACCAGGCTAGACACGGAGCACTTAGGGGTCACAAGAAATGGGCTGGGTGTGATGGCTCATGCCTGTAATCTCTGCACTAGCTGAGGCGAGAGGATCACTTGAGCCCAGGAGTTCAAGATGAGCCTGGGCAACATAGTGAGACTCTGTCTCTATATAAAATTTAAAAATTAGCTGGGACTATAGGTGTGGTGGTGCTCACCTATAGTCCCAGCCAATCAGAAGGCTGAGGTGAGGGGATCACTTGAGTCCAGGAAGTCGAGGCTGCAGTGAGCCATGTTCGTGTCACTGCACTTCAGCCTGCGTGACAGAGTGAGACGCCCATCTCAAGCAAATGCAAGAAATGGCTCCCAGCCACAGGAACCTGCAAGCTTGAAAGAAAGGAATGCCACGTGCACACATCACTAGCATGCAAGGCAGTATGGCGGGTGCAGTGGGCATATGGTGGGTGCAGTGGGCATCTCTCCCACACACATTAAACACGGGTTTGCCCTTTTTACTCCATGTGCACTCTCTGTGGGATGGCTGGCTCTCCGTGGTTTCAACCCCACCTACACTCTGATGACTCCCGGGTCTCTCCCAAGTTAAAGACATAACCGGCTTCCTGCCCCTCACAGGACATGCTCAGTGAGGCCCACATTGGGTCCATCATTTTCTCCACTGGTCAGTTATTGGAAGGGGCACCCCACTTGCCCAGCTACTCATGTCAACGGCTGGCCTTCAGCTTTCTCCCTCATCTTCATCCATAGTATCCAGTTAATTTCCAAGTTCTGCCATTTTCAACTCCCAAGTATTTCCTACATCCATCTCCTCCTCTTCAGCTCTCTCACCAGCACCCTAGATGGGCTTGGTCAAGACCTCCTTCCCAGAGTCAGTGCAACAACCTGGGAAATCTTACCACTCTCAAAGCCATCCTCTAAACATAAATGTAAGCCAGTCACACCCTGCCGCAAATGCTTCCATGGTTCTCCAGTCATCCACCCATCCATCCATCTGTTCATCCATCCATTCACTCATCCATCCATCCATCCACCCACCCATCCACCCATCCACCGAACCATCTATCCATCCATCCATCCACCTATCCACCCATCTACCCATCCACCCATCCATCCTTCCATCCACCCATCCACCCATCCGCCCATCCACCCATCCATCCTTCCATCCATGCATCCAGGTATTCATTCATACAACAAATACCCACGGAGTATCCATTATATGAAAGACATAACACTAGACATTGGTCCCAACTAACAAGTGGCTTTTAGTCTTAAGGTGGAGGAGAGAAGATAAGTGAAACAAGCTCACCAAGAGAGGACAGGATTTTATGAGAGTTCATAGGTGGGGACCTCATCCTGTCAGGAAAGGCCTTCCAGAGCATCGGCAGTTACACTAAGATCAGGAGAAGGAGGAAGTGCTGCCCAAGCAGAGGAGAGTTTCTGCCTGTGGAAAGTGTGTCCAAATGGCCAAAATGCAACAGGGAGAGAAGGTGCAGATTTGCGGAACTGAAAGTAGGTTGGTGTGACCTACGAGGTAGGCAGGAAGAAAGAGGAAACAGTGTGAAGCTGAAGAAACTGACAAGTAATTACAAGGGAGGCGGGGAACAACCAGGGGCAAATCAGAGATTTGTTGTGGTGCCTGGTCTTTATAGCTTCCCACAAATATTCGTTGGATGGATGGTGGAGAGGAGGGTAGGTGAATGAATGAATGGAGGGCTAGGGGTAGCCAGATAGATGGGTGAGTGGATGGGTGGACAGATGGATACATGGGTGGCTGGATAGGTGAGTGGATAGATGGGTGGGTGGGTGGATAAGTGGATGGGTGAATGTGTAAATGGACGCATGGGTGAGGGGGAGATGGATAGATGGATGAGGGAATGGGTGGCAGATGGATTATGGGTGGGTGGAGAGGTGAGTGGGTGAGTAGGTGAGTGAGTGGATAGGTAAATGGTGGGGGGTTGAGGCTGGGTACTGGGACAGTAGGGATATCACTAGTAGAAACGAGAGAGTGAGGAGGAGGAATCACTGTTTTCCCCTCTGCTCAGGCTGTCTGAGCTGGTCTGAGGGTCCTGCTTTTTCACTAGTACCTTCCCTTCTACTGTTCCCTGAGGACAGCCACCCCTAGATGGAAACTCCACCTTGCCCTCTACCTCGTCTCCACGGGAACCTTGCTCCTAAAAGATCGAAGGACACAGTGGATGCAAAAATATTCTGTAAATGGAAAAATGCAGATGTGTAGAACTAAGCCACATCTGTTGAGGGCTCTGCATTTGCCAGGGAAGTTTCTGAACATTTGTTCTCTCTTTCAACCCCACTCTCATCAGCTCCCACTTTCTAAATGGATATAAATGAAAAAACTGAAGCTCAGAGAGATGAACCAACCTGCTGAAGAATCCACAGTTGAGATGTGGCAGGCCAGGTGTGGAGCTCGGACTGGTCCACACTTGCCTCGATGCTGTGCTCTCTGACTATCACGATCATCCCGCCACCACCATCCTCAACCCCGTAGCTCAGCCAAGCTCCAGTCCTCACAGATGCTGCAGCAATGGCCACCAGGCTTGGTCCTGGGCTGGCCCCCTTCACCTGGGGTATGCTTTAGCAAGTCAACCATGCTTTCAATGCCCTCTGAGGAAAACCCGCCATACACGCAGTCTGTGGTTTGGGAGGGCATTGGGAAAAAGAATCAAAATAACACTTATTATCTAGCTAAGAAATGAGAAAAACTACAGAGTGACTCAACACCTAAAAGCAAATCTTTAGCAAATGTAAATCAGCACAGAGGCATCTAGGGACTTTAATGACCAAGAGAAACGAAGCTACCAACAGGAAGGAAAGGCCTCTCTGACTAAGCTAGGAGTCTCTTGCATGTCCCAAGTCAGAAGGTGGAGGTGCGGTGGCTCAAGCCTGTAATCTCAGCACTTTGGAAGGCCGAGGCAGGAGATTCACCTGAGGTCAGGAGTTCGAGACCAGCCTGGCCAACATGGTGAAACCCCGTCTCTACTAAAAACATAAAAATTAGCCAGGCATGGTGGCACATGCCTGTAATCCCAGCTACTTGGGAGGCTGAGGCAGGAGAATCGCCTGAACCCAGGAGGTGGAGGTTGTAGTGAGCCAAGATCGTGCCACTGCAGTACAGCCTGGGCAGCAGAGCTAGACTCCGTCTCAAAAAAAAAAAAAAAAAAAAAAAGAAGAAGGCAGAGGTGCGTAAATGCTGGATTCCAGCTAGCACATAAATAGTGATCTAACTCGCCCCCCCTCCCTGTGGCACACACAGGCACGCACACAGACAGTTACTCATGCTGTCAAGGCGGCTCACAGATCCCCAAGCCCACAAGGGCTGGGGAGTTTCCCGAGGGATCAGCTTCCTTTTCCTTCAGTTGGCCAAACCTCTGCATGCGTTACACAAGGTTGTTTCATTCTCTGAAAGTGATTTATCTTCCCTCTGAGGAGGGGGAAATCAGGCTGCATTTGTCCTTAGTCCTCATTCTCCTCCCAGATCACCTCACGCAAGGAACAACGTGGACCATAGCATCTCACTTCTAGAACCCTTGCCACTGTTTCAAACATCGGTCCCATCTGGGCTCACAAAGTCCCCGTGAGTCAGGTAGGGCTGGCATTGCCAAGCCATTTCTCAGAACCTAAAGCCCAGAAAGGCTAATGTGAAGCGGCAGAGGGGGTCAAACTCACAATCAGTTGGGGTGGATCTGAATCCAGAACCCAGGCGTCTATGCACCAACTTGCTACCTTTGAGCTTTCTGGATCACAAACAATAGCAAGAAATATACCTGACATCGCGACCCAGCACACACAGACATACGCGCATCCACACATCTGTACAAAGCAACAAACTTCCCCAAAGCAATACTTACCCTACTTCTTGCCACGCACTCTGATCGTTTCTATTCTATTTCAATTGTTAAAATGCAGGTCATGAGCCATGAAGTTGATTTACTGACCCACGAATGGGTCACAACCCGCAGTTTGGAAACACCTGGCTGGACCCGCACCTGTGCTTTCCAGCTACTCCTAGAGCCTCCGGGCCCCAGGAAGGCGGCGTGATCTCTGGAGCCAGGTGAGGAGCAGGCAGCTGCTGAAATCAGGATAAAGGGAGTCATCTGAGGGGGGATTCTGCCTGCCCCAGCTGGGCTCTGCCCTCAAACCTCAGACAGCTGGGCTTTCTGCAGAGGCTCTGCAGGAGCCTGGGCACCCTTGCAGCCACGACCCCAGCTCTCCCTCCAGCTATTTCCCGCAGCCTGAACCTCCCAGCTCCAGCTAGAAAATCCCCAGCTGGAGGCTGCCCATTCCGGAGCTGAGGCAGAATCATGTGAACTCCAATCTGGTGTCAGGCTGGGCGGTTGCCGAGGAACCACTCGCCAGCCAGAGGCTGAGGGCGGCGGAACGGCTCCCTGCACGCATCCTCCCCTGCTCTCCGTGCCACCAGAGTCAGTGAGCAGCGGCCGGGAATGTGAGAGCCTGAACTAGGGGCGGGTGCCCTCAGATCTGCACTGGGGGTGGAAGAGGAGGGGGTGTGCTAATTCTACCCACTAAACCACCTTTGAGCACCTACAGGATACCAGGATCCAGGCAAGGGTGGGGGAAGCCGCCAGCATCTGGGTCAGTGGAGTTCAACCCTGGCCACACGCTTGAGAACATACCTGGGGGCCTATAAAAAAAAAAACCCATGCCCGGGCCCCACCCAGGGCTGGGGAAATCACACTTCCTGGAAGTGAGGCGCCAGCATCAATGGTTTTAAAGCTCCCTGGACCATCATAAAGAGCAGTGAAGGTGGGGAACCATGGATGTCGTGAGGCAGGTAGGATCCTGTTTGGCAGAGCAGCAGAGCGAAGGCAGTGGAGCCAAGGCTGTGGGCATGAGTAAGGATAAGGTGGGCATCAATGTTTTAAACTGTGTTGGTCCTCAGAGCAAGGACCAAGCCCAGGGCTCAGCCCACAGGGGGCCTTCTGGCTCTCAGGAGCATTTACTAAACTCCCTCCCTCACACACAGAGCACGGAGGATGGAAAGGCACAGCGGGCAAAGACTCTTGACCAGGGAGGGCCCGATAGCTAAAAGGTGCTAGAGCTGTGGCTGGAAGCTGCTGCCGACTTCCACTGTCATGCTATTTGGCTTAACTACCCCTCTCCAAGGCAGTCTCCTGGGAAGCTGAGTATAAGCTACATTGCCAGAGCCAGGAAGCCTACAGACCCAGTGCAGGGGACCGCTGGGGGCTTGAGTGAGTTCTTCCTGCCGGAAGTAGCCAGAGCCCTGTGCTTGGTCCCTGCTCTGGGGACCAAGTTTAAAACATTGTTGCCCATCTTATTCATGCCAAGATCCTTGGCTCCACTACCCTTGCTCTGCTGGTAGGGGTCTGAGGAAATCCCCTTCACTGGGTCGTGGGCCCTCCAAGCAAATGCTAACACATAGCAGGCCTTTAAAAAACTGTTTCTGGCCAGGTACAGTGGCTCACACCTGTAATCCCAGCATTTGGAAGGCCGAGGCGGGTGGATAGCCTGAGGTCAGGAGTTTGAGACCAGCCTGGCCAACATAGCAAAATCCTGTCTACTAAAAATACAAAAATTAGCCAGGTGTTGTGGTGGGCACCTGTAACCCCAGCTACTAGGGAGGCTGAGGCAGGAGAGTCACCTGAACCTGGCAGGCAGAGGTTGCAGTGAGCCGAGATCGAGCCACTATTCTCCAGCCTGGGAGACAAGAACAAAACTCCGTCTCAAAAAAAAAAAAAGTTTCCTATGTCAGTTGCTTCTTGTAGGCCTTATGTTACAAGCAAAGGCTTCAAGTTGTTATAGTGCAGTAGTGTACATTGAGACACACGTGCTATTTCTGTGTGTTGCGGAAGTGTGCGGAAGTGTGGCTGGCTTTCCCTGATGTCATATGGGAGGACTGGGGGGATAGGAGCATAGGACTGACTTAGTAGTGCCTGCCTGGCTACCCCTTGGACACAACCTGCCAGAGAGAGCACCTCTGGCCCTCTACGGGGTGGCCTGGCCTAACAGGATGTGCACACACAGGCTGTCTATACCTGCAAGAACCACTAATGGCATGGTGTCCCCCTCCTCCCTCCAGCACCCCCGGGGACCAGCAAGCTGCCCCAGCCCCTCTGCCAGCAGCACCTGCCCTACTGCACTTGGAGTAAGGACCAGCCTTCGGGATGAAGAAGGAGGGGTGAAACTTTCTTTGGTTTTAGTCAAATTGGCTGAGCTCATGTCTTTGTGAAATGCTTGCTCAGTAAAAGAAAAAAGAGCCCATGCCGTGCGCCGTGCTCTACTTTGGGCTGGGATTTTGTCTTTATCCTAAAATCGGAAGGGAAGACTAGAAGTATTAGTGACACAGCAGTGGCCTGAGGAGTCCTGGAGGCCCCATAACCGCCATGCACTCTGTAAACCTCTACGCAGGGGTAGTGAGTCTATCATAGAAATGCAGCCTAGCTGGCTGCAGTGGCTCGCACTTGTAATCCTATCACTTTGGGAGGCTGAGGCGGATGCTTGAGTCCGGGAGTTCAAGACCAGCCAGGGCAACATGGCAAAACCCTGTCTCTACAAAAAATACAAAAAAAAATTTAGCCAGGCATGGGGATACACCCCTGTGGTCCCAGCTACCAGGGAGGCTGAGGTGGGATGATCGCCTGAGCCTGGGAAGTCAAGGCTGCAGTGAGCCGTGACTGCACTACTGTGCCCCAGCCTTGGGGGCAGAGTGAGATCCTGCCTTAAAAAAAGTAAAAGAAAAAGAAACATGGCTTCAAGAGCAGGCCCTGGCCCCTCTCCTCCCAGCCAGGCATCTGCCCTTCAGTCCAGAGTGGCAGAATCCTGGGAGCGGCCACCGAGCAGAGGGGACCCCTCCTCTGCAGCTCCTCCCTCCTGGAAGGATATATGGGCCTAAATCGGGCCGGGCTTGCCACTTGCATTCATTTTTTCACTCTTGTTCTCTCACTTTCTCCCCCAATGCCCCCTACCCAGGTAGTTGTGAAGAACCTCCGCTGGGATGGCAGCCCCAGGAGGCTGAACCAAGCCCAGACATTCCCATCAAGCCTCCAGCAAAAACATCTGCTCCAGGCACCTGGGTGGGTGGACCTTTCCAAACATCTCTGGAGGCTACTTTGAGGGCAACAGGGCCCTAGGTCATGAGGCTTTTGGGCACCCCTGGCCTCCCAGGGGTCCAGACAGCCGGGAGTCAGCATAGAGAGGACCTTGGGGTATTCCCTGAGCTGGTGGCATCATGCAGGATCTCCAGCACCTGGCAGCAACTCCATGGTCACCTGGCAGGCAGCACAGGGTGGAGGGAGAGTCAGAGCACAGGCTCTGGGTCAGACTGGGGAGGTCAAGTCCCTACTATACCCCTCTCAGGCTATGTGATCTTAACATGGTTTGGCTGTGTCCCCACCCAAATCTTATCTTGAATTATAGCTCCCGTAATTCCCATGTGTTGTGGGAGGGACCCAGTGGGAGGTAATTGAATTGTGGAGTGGGTCTTTCTGGTGTTCTTCTTGTGATAGTGAATGTCTCACGAGATCTGACGGTTTTGTAAAGAGGAATTCCCCTGCACAAGTTCTCTCTTGTCTGCCACCATGTAAGATGTGACTTTCACCTTCTGTCATGATTGCGAAGCATCCCCACTCACACAGAACTGTGAGTCCATTAAACCTTTATTTATTTATTTATTTTGAGATGGAATCTCACTCTGTTGCCCAGGCTGGAGTGCAGTGGTGTGATCTCGGCTCACTGCAACCTCCACCTCCTAGGTTCAAGTGATTCTCCTGCCCCAGCCTCCTAAGTAGCTGGGATTACAGGTGCCTGCCACCACATCCAGTTATTTTTTTGTATTTTTAGTAGAAAGGGGGTTTCACCAGATTGGCCAGGCTGGTCTCGAACTCCTGACCTCGTGATTCTCCCATCTCAGCCTCCCAAAGTTCTGGGATTATAGGTGTGAGCCACTGTGCTCGGCCAAACCACTTTTTTGTTACTTTAGTTTATCTTTTTGAGGAGTGAGACTCTGTCACCCGGGCTGGAGTGACACCTGAGCCCAGGAGTTCAGTAGCACGATCTTGGCTCACTGCAACCTCCACCTCCTGGGTTCAAGCAGTTCTCCTGCCTCAGCCTCCCAAGTAGCTGGGACTACAGGTATGTGCCAGCAAACCTGGCTAATTTCTGTATTTTTAGTAGAGACGTGGCCAATATGGTGAAACCCCATCTCTCCTAAAAATACAAAGATTAGCTGGGTGTGGTGACCTACATCTGTAATTCCAGCTACTCAGGAGGCTGAGGCACGAGAACTGCCTGAACCTGGGGAGGTCGGCGTTGCAATGAGCCGAGATGGCGCCACTACACTCCAGGCTGGGTGACAGAGCAAGACTCCATCTCAAAAAAAAAAAAAAAAAAAAAAAGAATGGCTCTTCTGGAAGCATCAGGGACCAAGATGAACAGCAGGCAACTCCCCCAACTCCCTTGTCTGACACCAAGGCCCTCGAGGGGTTAGAGAAGAGCATGGGACAGCTTGGTACCAATGGTAAAGGTAAATAGCCTTTACCATTTCCTGAGCATGCACTTTGCACCAGGTGCTGTGCTAAGCACCTTCCCGATCCTTTCTTTTAATCCCTACATCAATCCTGTGTGGCAGAGATTATCCTGTTTTACAGATGAGGCAAATGACACTCAGAAGCTTAAGTAACTTGCTGAGGGTCACACAGCTGGTAGCAGCAGGGTTGTGATTTGAACTCAGGGCAGTCTGACTCCAAAGACAGGTCTCTTGACCACTGTTCCAGTGTCCTACGCTACTGTTATAAATTGTCATAAACTTAGGGGCAAAAAACAACACTCCAGCCCGGGTGACAGAGTCTCTTTTTGAGATGGAGCCTCGCTGTGTTGCCCAGGCTGGAGTGCAGTGGTGCAATCTCAGCTCACTGCAACCTGCGCCTCTGGGGTTCGAGCGATTCTCCTGCCTTAGCCTTCCAAGTAGCCGGGATTACAGGCCTGCCACCACACTCAGCTAATTTTGTATTTTTAGTAGAGACAGGGTTTTGCCATGTTGTCCAGGCTGGTCTTGAACTCCTGGCTTCAAGTGATCCACCTGCCTTAGCCTCCCAAAGTGCTGGGATTACAGGTGTGAGCCACCATGCCCAGCCAAAACAACATACATTTCTTATCTGGCAGTTCTGGAGGTCAAAAGCATGACATGGATCTTACTGGCTAAAATCAGAACTGCAGTCTATAGGGCTCCATTCTTCCTCAAGTCTCTAAAATCCATTTTCTTGTCTTTTCCAGCTTCTAGAGGCTTGTAGCATTCCTTGGCTTGTGGCATCTTCCATCTTCAAAGCCCACAGGTCGATTGAGTCCCTCCCATAGCACATCTCCTCCTCTGACTCTCATGCTCCCTCTTCCACTTTGAAGAGTCCTTCCTTGTGACAATGCTGGATCATCTCTTTACTTTAAGCTCAGCTGATTAGCAGTCTGAATTCCACCTGCTGCCTTAATCCCCCTTTGCCATGTAAGGTAACTCAGTCACAGGTTCTGGGGACTAGGAACTGGAGCTCTTTAGGGAGGGCATTATTCTGCCCCGCACACCCACCATGTGATACTTAAAACCCTGTGCAGTGCCGGCTGGGCGAGCTGGCTCATGCTTACAGTCCTAGTACTTTGGGAGGCCGAGACAGTCAGATTGCTTGAACTCATGGGTTTGAGACCAGCCTGGGCAACATAGCGAAATCCTGTCTCTACAAAAAAATACGAAAAGATTGGTGGGTGCAATGTCATGTGCCTGTAGTCCCAGCCACTCAAGAGGCTGAGGCTGCAGAATCGTTTGAGCCCAGAAGGCAGAGGTTGCAGTGAGCCAAGATCTCACCTGGACGACTGGAGTGAAACCATGTCTCAAGCAAAACAAAACAAGATAAAAACCCTGTATAGTGCTGCTTCTCAAATGTTAGTGTGCATGGGTTATACATCTCCCAGAAATCTTGTTATTGTAGCTTTTGGTTCAGTTCTATAGGTCTGGGGGCAGGGCCTGAGATTCTGCCCTACTAACCTGAGCTGAGGACCACCTTTATCTTTTGTATGCTGTAATGCTGCACAAGTGTTAAATAAATAAATACTTGATAATGGAAAGGGCCAGGCATGGTGGCTCATACCTGTAATTCCAGCACTTTGGGAGGCCAAGGCAGGAGGATCAATTGCTTGAAGCCAGGAGTTTGAGACAGGCTGGGCAACAAAGTGAGACCCTGTCTCTAGAAAAATTTAAAATATTAGCTGGTTGTGGTGTCACCCACTTGTAGTCCAAGCTATTTGGGAGGCCACGATGGGAGGATCCCTTGAGCCTGAAAGTTTGAGGCTGCAGTGTCCAGCCTGGGCAACAGGGAAAGACTGGAAGGAAGCAAGGAAGGAGGGAGGGAGGAAAGGAGGGAGGGAGGGAGGGAAAGGAGAAAGGAAGGAAGGAAGGAAGGGAAGGAAAGAAGGAAGGAAGGGAGGGAGGAAGGAAGGAGGGAAGGAGGAGAAAAGTGGGAAGGAGGAAGATAGGAAGGAGGGAAGGAGGGAAGGAGGAAGGAAGGGAAGGAAGGAAGGAGGGAGGAAGGGAGGGGGAGGGAGGGAAGGAAGGAAGAAAGGAAGGTAGAGGAAAGGAGGGTGGGAGGGAGGGAAGGGAGGGAGAGTGGAAGGGAAAGAAGGAAAGATGGAAGGAAAGAAGGGAGGGGGAGGGAAGGAGGGAAAGAAAGAAGGAAAGAAAGGAGAGGAAAGGAGGGAGGGAGGATGGGAGGAAGGGAAGGAAAGAATGAAGGAAGGAAGGAAGGAGGAAAGGAAGGAAGAGTTGAGTTCTGAGTGTTTTTATCACTGTGGTACAAGAGAGCTGGGTCAACGGCACCTCACACACGCTTCACACAGAAAGAAGGTGCCTGAGGTTCTGAATGACAAATGGGTGCTGAGCAAGGGGATACAGGGTGGGTGCTCACTTGCCTCAAGCTGCCAATATATGCAAGGCATTGAGCTTTCCACAGGCTGCCTTGATGCCTCACAGCAGCCGGCCAGGTAAATATCATCCCAGCGTTACCACTGAAATCTCAGGGGTGTCCAAGACCAAGGGTCACACAGCTGGCAAGCAAGCCACTGGGATTCAATTCAAGGCCTGAACTCACTGCGTTTTCATTTTTAATTAATTAATTAACTTTTAGAGATGGGGTCCCTGTTCTATCACCCAGGCTGGAGTGTAGTGGTGCGATCATAGCTCACTGCAGCCTCAAATTCCTGAGTTCAAGCAATCCACCTGCCTCAGTCTCGCCAGTAGCTGGGACTCAAGTATTCGCCATCACATCCAGCTCATTGTATTTTTAAAAAAATTTTTTAGTATATTCAAGGGATTTGTTCCATCATTGCATTCATCTATTTTTATTTTTATATATTTATTTTTTGGGACAAGTTCCTCTCTGTCACCCAGGCGGAGTGCATTGGCATGATCTTGGCTCATTGCAACCTCCACCTCCTGAGTTCAAGTGATTCTTGTGCCTCAGCCTTCCGAGTAGCTGGGATTACAGGTGCACACCACCACGCCCAGCTACTTTTTGTATTTTTAGTAGAGATGGGGTTTCATTAGGTTGTTTATGCTGGTTTTGAACTTCTGAGCTCAAGCCATATGCCCACCTTGGCCTCCCAAAGTGCTGGGATTATAGGCATGAGCCATCACCCCTGGCCCATCCTTGTATTGTAACATTTACCAGTGTAATGCATGGGAATATGTATGACTATGGTTAATGTCTATCTTCTCCTTTAGACAGGAAGCTTCCTGGGGAAGAAGCTGGGTCTATTGTGTTCTTTGCCAGGGAAAGTGCACACCAAAAACATGTCGAATGTTTGGGTAAAGAAATGAATCTAAATTCCACTTCTTCCTGTAGCCTGCTGGGAAGGCCAGCGTGGCTATAATTGAAGTCAGCAACTAACAGTCTGGGGGAGACAGGATGAGGCAACAGGAAGAGGGTTGGTTTGGACTCTCAAGGTGTGGGTGGATGGCCTTGCGTGGAAGTGCATTTCCACGATAGCCTGCTGCTGAACTAGGGGCTTCGGCCAGGAGAGTCTGTGGTCTGAGAAGGTCTGAGCTGTGCGGGTATCTCTCCTGTCTGCAGCTGCAGCACAGACCACAGACCTGGACGTTGCCATGGCAACCCCTGGGGCCTGCCGCCCCCACTGCCTGCAGAGTGCTCCAGCCCATCAATTAATAACCTAATAATGTATGACAACAGTCACTCCAAACACACAGGAAGCAGCCCCCTCGAGAAACAAACAGACTTCTCCAGCGACTCAAGAGCTTCAAAGATGCTCATTACAATCAACCCTGGGCCACTTGCTCAAATCTACTTTCTTGAATCCAAATTGCTTTCTCATTGGCTTCTCCCTCTTGTTTTTTAAAGGCCCAGGGTTGACAAAGCTGGGGACTGAAGCCTCAGAGGTTCCAGAGAAAAGGATGCTAGAGAGGCCGCTGGGTAGGTCGCCCGTTCCCTCAACCCTGCCAGGCGCAGAGACACGGATGCCGACCAAAATAGACTGTGATAAGGCCCATATCTCTGCCTCTGCAGGGCCTCTCCTGGGAGAAACACTTCAACTTTTGCAAGAGATTAATTCATTCATCACCATGGCGCCCAGAAAAAAAATGCAAAGGAGAAGACTCAAGTTGTGGCAGACCCGAGATGGCTGCGAACTGTTTGAGATTCTCCTTGTTAAGAGGTGGGGTGGTCTAAGTCCACTCCCTTGAATCTAGGCAGGCCCTCTGACTGGCTGGCCAACAGAATAGAGTGGAAGCGACACTGTACCAGTTTCTGAGGCCAAGCTTGAAGAGACTGGCCCTTCCCATTTGCTGTCTTTTGGGAATAATTGTTCTTGAAACCGCAGTGCCATGCTGTGAGGAAGTCAAACAGCCTCGTTGACAGGCCCACATTGAGTGGAGCCAGGCAGCAGCCCCTGCAGAGCCCCAAGCTGACAGCCAGGTTCGACTTGCCTGCCACACCAGTGTGTCATCTTGGAAGAGGACCCCCGAGCCACAGTAGGTCCATCTCAGCTGATGCTCCCAGGAGCAGAGATGAGCCATCTCCACCAAGCCTGGCCCAAATCCCAGATTTGTAAGCAAAATAAATGTGCTATTTTAAGCGAATATCTTCTTTTTCTTTCTTTCTTTCTTTTTTTTTTTTGAGACAGAGTGTCACTCCGTCACCAGGTGCCAGGCTGGAGTGCAGTGGAGCGACCTCGGCTCACTGCAACCTCTGCCTCCTGGGTTCACGCAATTCTTCTGCCTCAGCCTCCCAAGTAGCTGGGATTACAGGCGCACGCCACCACGCCCAGCTAATTTTTTTGTATTTTTAGTAGAGACGGGGTTTCACCATGTTGGCCAGGATGGTCTCGATCTCTTGACCTCGTGATCCGCCCACCTCGGCCTCCCACAGTGCTGGGATTACAGGCACGAGCCACTGTGCCCGCCCTGAACTAATATCTTTAAATGTGGTTTGTTATGCAGCAATAGATAACAGGAACATAAGTATTATCTGTCCTCCCAAATCACTTTAGGGCCTACCAGGTGCTGGATTCATTCATATAATTATTTGATTTCAATTTTTATAACAATTCCTTGCGGTGTATGTATTATCATCTCCACTTTCCCCATGAGACAGTGAGGCTCAGAAAGTTAAAATATCTCGTTTGAGGCCAACCAGCTAGGAACAATGAAGCAGAAACTCTGATGCTAAAGCTCATTCCTCTACTACCACCACCATCATCTTCATCGAGGCTAGAGCTGAGCGCTCCTCCTTCCCTCCGGGGTCCTCAGTCACCAGCCCCTCTGTGGGCCCACCCACTGAAGTCCACCAACCTCTGGACACCTCCATACTTTGTATTTGTTGCCTTGGACCTGTTTTCCACTGTTTCCTGTTGGCTGAGTCTTCTGACCGTGTGCACTTTACCCAGAAGCCTTCAGTAGGAGAGTAATAACAAGAGTGGGCAGAGCTGACATTCAGAGGGTACTGCCAGGCTTTCAAGGTAGGGTTTCATCTGCGCAATCCCATAACCACCCTACTATGATGCTCATTTCACAGGAAACTCTGAGGCTTCGAAGGAGGCAACGTGGGCTAGGTGTGGTGACTCACACCTGTAATCCCAGCACTTTGGGAGGCCAAGGCGGGTGGATCACTTGAGGTCAGGAGTTTGAGACCGGCCTGGCCAACATGGTGAAAGCGTGTCTGTAAAAATACAAAATTAGCCAGGTGTGGTGGTGGGCACCTGCAGTCCCAGCTACTTGAGAGACTGAGGTAGGAGAATCTCTTGAACCCCGTAGGTCGAGGTTGCAATGAGCTGAGATCGCACCACTGCATTCTAGCCTGGGCGACAGAACAAGACTCCCGTCTCACAAAACAAAACAAAACAAAACAAGGCAACTTGGCCAAGGTAATAGCTCTAAAACATGGAAGAGCTGGGATTGGACCTAGACTGTCTGGTTCTGGAATTGGCTGGCAAGTAAAAATATCCTAGTCACACAGTCCACAGCGCGGCAGTGTCCAGCCCCACTTCCACCGCTGAGCTCAGGAATCTGTTTCCCTCCCTCCTTCTGGAAGCGATCCTGTGTGTGGAAGTGGGGGCAGAGGGAGTAAAGCCAAACATAACCAGTTTCACGGATTTGCAGACTCTCAAATCAGCCTCGCACTGCAGTGAGGTAACAATGGCTGATAATTCATTCTTATCTCGGTTTTATGGAGGCCCAGCCGCAGCAGTGACCTGCCCAAAGCTATACAGCCTCCGGCTCCCAGGCGGGGCTCGCTCACCTGCCTGTGCCCTCTGGCTGCCGCGGCCCCCTGCTCTCCAGCTGGAGGACCGCCTGGAGGACCACCTGGACCCTGCTGCCTCAGTCCGGCCATTTGCTTGCCAGAGTAGGGGAGGGGCCCTGCAACCAGCGACCCCACCCGGCGCTGCCCCTGCCGACCAAGCAAGCAGGGGGCCAGCTGTCCCCTCCTCAGTGGCAGGGGGTGCTGGTGCTGTGTGGGTCTCAGAGCTGCCCTGAGGGCCGCGTAGATCTGGGGGACAGAAAGGCCCAAAGGGACTCGGAATGGCCGGTGCGGCCGGGCTCCGGGAAATGAAGGGCTCGGAGCCACCCACCCCACACTTTGTGTGGGGGCGGGAGTAATTACCGGGTGGCCGCGGAGCCAGCCCAGGGGGTGGGTGGCTGCTAACCCGGGCGGCGACCGCAGGCGGAGACGCCCAGCCGGGGAGAGGGACCGGGCCGCGCCGGCGCTCGCGGACAGACACCCGCGGTCCCGGCCCCGCCACGCCCCGGCGGCCCCGCGGGGCGCTCGGTGGAATGCGCTGAGACCCCGCGCGCGGTTTTCCGGGCCCGGCGCGCCCGGGACACCTACCTGCGCGGCGCGGGACTGAGGCGCCCGCGGCTGTCACCCCGCGCCCCCTCTTCCTGCCGGCGCGCACGCGGTTGGCGGGGTGGCCTGGGGACGTCCTCGGGTCTCTTCCTGGGAACGCGGGGCCACGTTGTGCTCCGATTCCACCCCCGTGTTGGGTACCCGCAGCCCTGAGTGAGGGTCCATGCCCTGCCTTTCACCCTGACCACAGTCCCTAGGCTCGGCCCCTGCTGGGAAGAGCCAGGTGGTTCAGGGACCCCCGCCCCCACTACCATCCTACCCCGGGATAGGCCCTAGAGGGGAATGAGGCACAGAGAGGGCAAACAACTTGCCCAAGGTCACACAGGTAGTACGCGGAGGCCTCGGGATTCGAATCCAGGCAGGTGGGTACAGAGCCCTCCTCCTCCCCACATCCTGTCCCAAGCCACCCTTGGCTGTTTCCTCTGCTCCTTCTACTTTTTCACAACTGCATACCTTGGCTCCTGTGGCCCCCCCCAACTCCAGAGACCTCCTGTTTCCCATCTCCTGAACTCCTGCCCCCGTCTTAAGAGTCTACATCACTTTCGAACTTAGGGAGCATTCTTGGTTGCCCCAGGCAATGTGTGCTAAACCCTGCAGGGTGCCCTTGGCCCCTTTCCAGTATTGTACTGTGGCTGGGGTCCCTGGCACACAGCTATCTCTCTACATGGCCTTTGCCCTCAGCCCAGTTATCCTGCTCAAAGCAGGGTGCCCCCATTCCTATCTGTGAAATGAATGTCTGGAATTGTCACTGCAGAAGTCTGCAGAAGCCTGGCGGTTGTCAGGACAGATGGTTGGGGTCAGGGAGAAGGGTGATTGGAACTGCAGCAGGGCAGGTAGGAGAGAGACAGCAACATCTCACCTGCTAACACTTCTGGGTGGCTCAGCGCTCCTCACAGTGTGACTTAGCCTCTAGGTGAGTCTCTGGGAGGATGGACAGTGCGTAAGAGGACAGAAGTATCCTGGCAGGGGAGGACAGGAGAGCAGGAGGAGGCAGAGAGAGGCACAGGGAGCGTGGAGGCAGAGGGATTTGCTTTTCCCACTGGACACTAGCCCAGTGATGTCCCTGCAGGCTCGAGGCCGGATCAGCCTCCTCTGCTGGTCTTCATTTTGAAATTCCTCCTTCTTAGAAAGTCTTCACAAATGGAATTTTCTGGGTTAACTATTCATGCCATCAAAATTCACATCTGCTTTTTAAAAGTTGCCAAACTGAATATAGTTGTGAAGAGTTTGGCATTGAAAGCCAAAGTGCTGGAATTTGAATCCCAGTTGTACTACCTACTAGCAGGGTGACCCTGGCCAAGCCTCTTAACCACCCCCCCACCTCGTGCCCATTTCCTCGTCTGTGAAATGGAGACACGAGGTCAAAAGAGGGCTGAGACAATTACATGAGTTAAATCAAGGAAAGCCCTTAGCTCAATGCCCAGAACATGTGAGATTCAATAGATGTTAGCTGTTATTGTCATTGTCACTGGACATTGCAGATATCCTGTTATTTGCAGCTCTTATCATTTATGTATTTATGTATTTATCTTTGAGACAGGGTCTCGCTTTGTCGCCCCCCGGAGGACAGTGGAGTACAGTGGCAGCTCACTGCAGCCCCAATCGCTCTTATCTTGTACATGGTTCCTGTGTCCTTAGTGCCTGTACACGATCTTTCATCCCCAAAACAAGTGGTTTTATTCTCTCCATTTCACAGATCAGGAAACTGAGGTTTCATAAATTGCCTGAGGGCCACTCCATTCCCAAGTCCTGACTGAGCCAGGACTTGACTGGAGTTCTGACTCTGAGGCTGTTTCTTCCAATGACTCTGTTCTGCCTCATCTTATCTCTCTCGGAAAAAGGTGGGCTGTTTGAAAGCCCATTGCCAGTTGCCAGATGGAGGACTCTTGACTGTCAGGAGGACAGAGCATGCCCTGTGGGAAATGTATTACAGAATGAATCCTGCCAGGGCTACGGCACTGCACTACCCCAGGGGAGCCATGTATGCTATAACCCACCAGTTGGTGGTCCCTAGAGTTGGCACAGTGTGCCAGTTCTTGGTGGCCCTGTCTCCTCCCTCTCTTTCCTTTTTCTTTTCCTTTTTTTGAGACAGAGTCTCCCTCTGTCACCCAGGCGGGAGTGCAGTGGCACGTATCAGCCCACTGCAACCTCAGCTCCCTGGGTTCAAGCAATTTTCATGCCTCAGCCTCCTAAGTAGCTGGGATTACAGACGGGTGCCACCACGCCCAGCTAATTTTTAGCATTTTTAGTAGAGATGGGATTTCACCATGTTGGCCAGGCTGGTCTTGAACTCCTGGCCTCAAGTGATCCACCTGCTTCAGTCTTCCAAAGTGCTGAGATTACAGGCGGGAGCCACCATGCCCAGCTATGCCTCTCTTTTTCCACCCCACATTCTCCGTTTACAGGTGCCTAAACATATCCAGTGCCTTTCACAGTCTTAAAGCTGTTAAAACAAACTCCCTTTGGATTCATGCTTCACTTTTTAGAGACAGATAGTATGGCTCTTATTATAGTTACTTAAAGATCTGGAACTGGCCAGTGGAGTCTGCAGAAGCTTGGACTGTTGCCAAAATACAGACTTGGGACTTCTGACCATGCTTTCCCTAAGAAAATGCTGGATCTGGAGAACCGTATAGAAATTCATCATGTTGCTTGCAAAGTCACTTTTGGCTGGCTTTTGCTGTTTCTTGGTGTCAAGATGTCCAGTCCTTGGCAGAGGCAACATAATTTGTTGTTTTGTAAGTAAAACCTGGCCTTACAAGCAACAAAACAGCTCATTAATGGTAAAATGAAGCACACATTGTCTTCGAGAAACTTCCTGAGCCTAGAGAATGTAAATTATGACCCATCCTCTTGAAATGCTGATTGGAAATGCTGCACTAATAACTATCTTTCTCGCCCACAGAAATGATCTCCCACATTGGGCTGGGCTCCAGAGACAGTCTGAAATTCACCACTCCCAATGCAAGTGATGTTTGCATCCATTTCTTCTTTGCCAGTCTCTTGTGGGTTTTTCTTTTTATCTTGGCATCTGTAAAGGCAGAATCTCTACACAGGGCCCGAGGACAACTCATTCGCTGCATTTCCCCAATGTCAAACCCAGAGTGACACACTGCAGGTGTCCAGAAAATGACAGCCAAAGAAATGTGTGAAAGAGGCTCCCGCACCAGAAGGGAGCTGCGTACTTTCTATGCCTATCCAGATCCAGTCTCCATTCCCCTACTCTAAGGATTATGTCACCGGCTCCCTGCCCTCTAGGGTCTGCTAGGGTTGGACAGGAAGCACTAACTGGAGATCAGAGGATGGGAGGAGAGTGAAGACCCGGGAATAGTGATCCACTCTGCCAGGGTCGCTTCAGGTTGGCTGCTTCCCTTGGCTGAAGGTGTCAGCTCAGCTCCTGTCCAGTCTTTCTCCAGCCCTTCTCTCTCCCTTCCTCCTGCAAGCCGAGGGCTAGTAACAGCTCCTGAGGCATGCCAGACCCACCATCCCTTAGGCCCCTTAGCCTTGTCCACACGTTTGTGTTAAACTCTCATCAGTTACCCTGCTTGAGGGTGTCATCTGCTTCCTGCTGAGTCTGATTGATACTGAAATGGATGCATCAGATATATCCTCACTGCAAACTCATACTAATAGAAGAATGTGCATATATCTCAGAATGCAAAGATGATATCTATTTGAAAATTACTGTTTTTCCACTTCGTTCTTCCAATTAGCACAGCTGACTGGCCTTAGAGGAAATCCCTCTGTATCCCCTAAACAGAATGAGTCCCTACTTCCTCCCAAGGTTCTAGTGCCAGCTTGTCTCAGTCCCTGCACAGGCCTGAGCCTTCTCTTGCTGATCCACCCTGTCCTGTGCTTCCTGTCATCCTGAGCATTCTAGAGCAGAGCATCCAGCTGCCGAATCAGGTCGGTAATTTTCCTTTTGGGAAATACTCGCTGATGATGAGTCAAGTACCTCTCAGGACAGTTTCAGGCAGAAAGAGGCTGGTTTTCTTTCCTAATAGTTATTGCTTCTGGCAACAACCACACTCCAGCAGGCTCAGGCCTGAGCTGATGAACGGGACAACCTGATGACCACCACAAAGCTGCATCTACTCCCATCCAGCTAATCCGAGGGCTCTCAGACTGTGACTAATGGGGACATCTGAGGGCAGAACGTTTGGAGGCCAGGGAGGAACACGTCCAGACAAGGTGTGAGCACACACATCTGGAGGCCTGGGGAGCCCATGGCACATTCCTGGCTGGACTTGGGATTCCAGGAGGAAGGCTTCAGGTTGGGTTTGCTCAGGCTGAGACAGTTTGGGAGAGGGGGAGGGCAGGGAACTTGAGCATCTGAATGCCTGGGTTTGAATTCCACATCTGTTGCTTTTTGGCCTGAGAGCTCTGGCAAGTTATGCAGCCTCCCTAGGCCTTGGTTTCTGCCTCTTTAAAATGGGGTTAACAGTGAAGATTGGTGTAAGAATCACATATAAAGGTGCTGTCAAGAAATCTTCTTGAAGGCTGGGTGTGGGTGGCTCATGCCTGTAATCCCAGCACATTGGGAGGCTGAGGTGGGAGGATCACTTGAGGCAAGGACTTCAAGAAGAGCCTGGGCAAGTCTATAGCCATAGCCATAGCAAGACCCTGTCTCTATTTAAAGAAGAAAAAAAAAGGAAAGGAAATAAATTAATTAAACGGAGGTGTGGTTGACATAGAAATCAGGATATCAGCTTCGCCAGGTCTAAAAATAACAGGCTATACTGGGAAGGCACAAGAGGGGGCTTTGCTGACAGAAGTAGCATGGCCCAGGCCGGGCTGTTCAGCCCTGGTCAGCCTCTGGCTTGGTTCTCTGCTTATGGAGAATGGCCCCAATCCTAGCTCCTCCACTTATTGGCTATGTGACCTTAAACGAGTGACATACTCTATGTGCCTCAGTTTCCTGATATGCAAAATGGGGATAATAACAGTACTGGGCCAGGCGCGGTGGCTCACACCTATAATTTCAGCACATTGGGAAGCTGAGGCAGACAGATCACTTGAGGCCAGGAGTTCAAGACCAGCCTGGCCAACATGGTGAAACCAGTCTCTGCTAAAAATACAAAACTTACCCAGGCATGGTAATGCCCGCTTGTAGTCCCAGCTACTCAGGAGTCTGAGGCAGGGGGATTGATGAAAGGAGGCGGAGGTTGCAGTGAACCGAGATTATGCCACTGCACTCCAGCCTGGGCAACACAGCAAGGCTCCGTCTCGAAAACAAAACATCAAAAACCAAAACAACAAGAAACAGTACTGCGCAGGGTTGTGGTATTAACTGAGCAAGTATGAAACTCTTAGAACTGTGCCTGCCCTGGGAATGCTCAAGAGTAAACGTTAAGCCATTCCTTCATCCCCCGATGCCCGTGAAGGCTTCTGTGTTCCCATCTGGCTTAAGAGTGTAGGCTTCTTTGCGGCAGTGAGCTGGGTACATGGTGATCACTTTTCTTTGATTTGCTACATAAGATTTGCCTTCTGTGGGGCTCACAGGACTTGGTGTGTGGATGCTGGCGGGGGACAGGGATGGATCTGAGTGGTATTTGGCACCAGAAACTTTTCCAGCCTGAACTGCCTGGAACCCCTAAAGAGAACCATCGGCAGCTCTCCCTGCAGCCCTCTTCGATCATGGCTGAGGTGCCTATAATGAGGTGTGGATGGTGGGACGGTGAGGAAGGGCTGAAATGACAGAGCACTGGCGGAGAATTTGTAGCCTAGACAGGGGCCTCACCTAGAAAACCTTGGGGAAAATTCTCCCCCCGAGCTGGGCTTCAGATCTTCTTGGCCTATTCCAGGCATCTTGAGGGCAATAATGGCGCCAGAGAGGCAGTGTAGCCTAGAGGCCAGGAAGGTGCACCCTGGAGCCCCACTGCCTAGGTTCAAATCCCAGCTCTATCACATGCAAAGTTACTTAACCTCTGTTCCTCTGTGAAATGACAATGATGGTACCTAACTCATGGAGTGTTGTGTAATGTGCCTGGGGCAGTAAATGTCAGCTACTAGGAATATTCCACCAGTCAGCGTGACCTATGACTACCAGGGACAGCTACTGTGGTAGGCAGAGCAACAGCCCTCAAAGATGAGTGTGCCCTTGACAGGGTGCGGTGGCTCACGCCTGTAATCCCAGCACTTTGGGAAGCTGATACAGGTGGATCATTTGAGGTCACGAGTTTGAGACCAGCCTGGTCAACATAGCGAAATCCTGTCTCTACTAAAAAAAATACCAAAAAAAAAAAAATTTTTTTAGCCAAGCATGGTGGTACATGCCTGTAGTCCCAGCTACTCCCTATTCTCTCAAGGCATGAGAATCACTTGAACCCAGGAGACGGAGGTTGCAGTGAGCCAAGATTGTGCCACTCTACTCCAGCCTGGGCAGCAGAGCAAGACTCTGTTAAAAAAAAGAAAAAGGGCCAGGCGCGGTGGCTCAAGCCTGTAATCCTAGCACTTTGGGAGGCCGAGGTGGGCGGATCACGAAGTCAAGAGATCGAGACCATCCTGGCCAACATGGCGAAACCCCATCTCTACTGAAAATACAAAAATTAGCTGGGCGTGGTGGCGTGTGCCTGTAGTCCCAGCTACTTGGGAGGCTGAGGCAGGAGAATTGCTTGAATCCGGGAGGCAGAAGTTGCAGTGAGCCGAGATTGTGCCACTGCACTCCAGCCTGGCGCCTGGTGACACAGTGAGACTTTGTCTCAAAAAAAATAAAATAAATAAATAAAAATAAAAGAAAAAAAAGAAAAAGAAAAAGAAAAAAAGATGACTGTGTTCTAATCCCCAGTACCTGTGAACATGTTACCTTACACATTAAAGGGACTTTGCAAATGTGATAAAGACTTTGAGATGGGGAGATAATCCTAGGTTATCAAAGTGGACCCAATGTCATCACAAGGCAGAAGAGAGAATCTGAGTGATGCAGCGAGGGGAGGGCTCCACCATCCACTGTCAGCTTTGAAGATGGGAGGGGGCCACAAGCCAAGAAATGCAGGCAGGCCTGAGATGCTGAAAAAGGCAAGGAAATGGAGTCTCCCCTGAATCTCCACAAAGGACCTGGCTGGCCCTGCTAACACCTTAATTTTAGCCCTGTGAGACC